CGTACCGACCCGTAACCGCAGCGCGGCCGGCGTACCGACCCGTAACCGCAGCGCGGCCGGCGTACCGACCCGTAACCGCAGCGCGGCCGGCCGGGCTCGGGGAGGCCCTGAGCACCTGAACAGTCTAATCCATCAAAGAAACTGAATTAGCAGCTTTAAACCTTCTGAAGAACAAAGCCCCAGGCGGGTTGAACCAGATATCAAAGGACGAAACAACATTAACTCTACATAATATCTTCCAGAAAACAGAAAAGGGAGGGATACTTCTCAACTCATTTTAGGAGGGTCAGGAATTACCCTGACACCAACACCAGACAAAAACATACAAAAAAGAAAACCATAGACCAGTATCCCTCTATGAACACAGACGTGGAGATCTTCAAGAAAATATCAGCAAACTGGATTCATCGTATGTAAATAGCGACTCCTACACCACGACCAAGTGGGGTTCGCTGCGGGCCGGTCGACGTTTGAAGTCATCAGTGAAACTCACCTCATCCACAGGCTCACTTAGACAAATCATAAAATCTCCTCAAATGGGGGCACCTGGGCAGCTGCCTTCGGCTCGGGTCGTGATCCCAGCGTCCTGGGATCGAGCCCCGCATCGGGCTCTCTGCTCAGCAGGAAACCCGCCCCCAACCCTCTCTCTGCTGCCTCTCTGCCTGCTTGTGATCTCTGTCTGTCAAATGAATAAATAAAATCTTTAAAAACTTTTTTTGTGACAGTAGCCAGAGAAGCTAAGTCTGGGATAAAATACTTGCACAGTGCATGTCCGACAAAGGGTTTGATCCGGAATATATAAAGAACCTCCTAACCCAACAGTAGGAAAATCAAGAACCCGATTAAAAAACAGGCAAAAGATTTGCAGACACTTCACTAAAGAGGACGTACGGACAGTAAGGCAGCACACGGAGAGGCGTGAATGAAACATCTGGAGCGAGGACTCGCGACTTTATGCTGACAGCGTGGCTGACGGGGCACTAGATGTGCTCCTGTGTGTGCCCCCAACACAGCAGCGCTCAGCACGCACGTCCACGCCAAGACTCCATGTGGACCCTCACAGTGGCTGCGTGCCAGCTGCCCAAGCCTGGAGACACCCTTCAAGCACAGAGGAGGGAACCGGCCCATTGCACCAGGAGGGCTGCCTGGGGACAAGGGAGGCAAAGCACCGACAGAGACAAGCACACACACACGCACAGTGGCCCACACTGGTCCCCCACGTGGGAAGAGAGCCCAGATCCAAGGCTGGGCCCCTGCACGTTAGCCCACCACCGTGGCGTTCTGGAAAGCATGCACCAGCAGCCCAGGGGTGGCGACAGCCACGGTGGGGTGGGCACGCGGTTCTGGGTGGGACCGTCCACCGTTCTGAGCCTGGCTAAGGGAGTAACAGGCATGTCGGGCTGCAGAGCAACGTGGGGGTAGGCTGAGTTTTACTGTGAGTTTCAAAAAGTTATTTTTCAAAAGTTACAAAAGCCACAGGCCCTCAGGGATACGCCAGCTCACTGCAAACAGGAGGCTGCTCTGAGTACACCGATCATCACGCTACCCGCACGTCCCTTCTCTGGGATGGCCTCTCGGCTCTCAGGGCTGTCGCAAAACCTGCTTCTAGACAATCTGTCTGGGCAGGGGCCGTGGGGGGTCCCAGTACCGGCGGCCGACAGCTCAGAGCCTTCTGTCTGGGAGGCCCGGTGGCTGATGTCTCCTCGTCACAGGGAGAACTCCAGAGCCCGGGGCAGAGCCGCCGGCTTTCTGTCGGACGGGAAGGGTCTCCGTGCAGCTCCCTGGGCGAGCACGCCGCTGCCCAGAGCCCATCTAAACGAGCACCCGCCCACCTCCTTCTTCAGTCGCGTCCCCCCTGTGGTGGGACAAACACCAATGAGCCACTTGTATTTTCCTTTCTTTTTTTCTTCCTCTTTTTTTTTTTTTTTCAATTCTAGGACACATTCAAGCTGATGCTATTTGTGCAAACAATATTGAAAAAGCATAAAAAGGAACATTTGCATACAGGCAGAACACACGACGTTTGTTTTTATACGAGACTGGCTCTGAGAGAAAGGCCTGAAGGCTGGAGTATAGATCAGAGCCAAGGACGAGATTTAGTGCATAATGCTTGGCCCTCAAGGAAATCATG